ACATCCGATAATTTGGTCGAGATTCGAACTGAACACCTCCAGAATATAAGTTTAGAAGTTAATTTACGTGTCAACCGGCTCAGTGACATTTCGGAAGAAATTAGTGCCTCCATCTTCAGGGTTTAACAGTAAGCCAAGCATATAAAGAGTGATACTTATTTGACTCACTCTTCATTCCTGAATCTGGAGGCTGTATGTTCCAATGGAACGTCATCAAATTTCTCCAATTACATAGAAGAACTTCCCAGAAGATAGAACCCTTCATGTGCATAAAAGTTTATAATAATCAGTACGCACATGTTTATATAGTATGTAAATATTTTTACAGGTTTAATTTTTTTATGACATGTGACTTAAATAACCCAGATAAACACATTTATATGTCTGACGTGTGGCTGGCCGAATGTACGACAAAATTGGAATTCATATTAATTTAAGATATTTTAATATGATGATATATAAAATTAGGAACAAAAATGTCAGTTATTACATTATACAATAATTCATGAGTTATATGTGGTATTTACGAACTGGAACATAATTTACGAACAACCAGCTACAATTTAAGTTTCAGGGACCACACGGCTTATGTCGCTGATGTATAAATGTTTAAATAATCAATTGAAAGAAAGACTTGCAGATGGTACAGGAAGACGCAATATAATAGAAAATTATCACGAGGCACATGAAAAATTTTACACAAAATTTAGTATCATTTTCCATTTATTATATCACAGTAAATGGAACTAACACATTTATTGTTAACGTTTATAATATTTAGAAATTACTTATGTTTATTTAATAAAATGTAAATTTCACCTGTTTCGTTCTTTATATGTGTATGATGATCATATTTCTTACACTGTGGCTTCTTTATGGTTTTTAATTTAAGTAATTTTAATTAGTCAACCTTTGGAGAGAAAATTTTAATCAGGCACATGTATCTACCAAATTAATCAAAATTTACTTTATGGGGATGTGACTTAGGAGTCCGAACGTATTTAGTTTTCATAATATTATTTCGCAATATCACAAGTAACAGAGTAAATACAGGTAAATTGAAATACAGAAAGAAATTTCGTATAAGAACTGTACACGTAATTATATAGCAAAATATATTTCTGTAATATGTATCGGTTCCATTCACAACGCCAATGGTCTTTATACGTACCATGCTCCTTAAGATTTTGACTAGGCCGTGGTGGTTAACAGTGTTTATTGCTCCACGAAGAAAGACAGTATGAAAACTGTGAAATGAACTCAATATCTTGTTACATGATAAATTATTGACTTTACTGTAGAGTTTAATACGAAAAATATGAACCTATACAAGCCAAGTATAATTAATGACTTGGTAATTGTATGTGATGAAGATAAAATATATTATGAAATTAATGTTCTGTTTAAATATGCTGTTTGAAAAATTATAAAGATTTTATAGAGTAATATGAAAGTAATGTACTCTTGACTCTTACTTAAGAAGACAAGCCCTCCCTTACACTTTCTGAAAGTGCTGAACTCTTTGGTTAAGTATCATGAAATACAAGAATTATTGCTAATTTCAATCAATTAATAAAACACTAAAAATATACACTGTTAAAAATATTTCGACACATTGTATTTTTTAATTCATATACAAATTATTATTTCACATAATCACACCTTGAAGAGAATCAACAAAATATTGTGATTATATGTTCTAACTATTCATTTGCTTCTCATAAATGTAAAATGTTGACACAGTGACTTAATATCTAGGCCTAAACACACGGTTTGATATTTTACAAAAACTGTGGTAATATAATGTTCTGTCCAAGGAGTGTTTTATGTTCACTGCTTGAATAATCAAGATGTCAGTCTTCTTCATCACTTTTGAGTGGGCTAATGTAGAATAGTGTCAAGGTTCAAAATTATAATTAATAAATAGATAGTTAAACTGTAATATGTTAATGATTTCCCCCCCCCCCAATATAAAATGGTAACCCAATTATATTGCTTATAAAGTATGCACATAGAGTTGGAATTTTATTATGATAATTTTTCTGAAATCAGATAAATTTAAAATAATATTTAACATATTTTATACACTCCAAAACAAAAGTAAATATATTTTATGTTGAGTTATGCACTGTTGTAACCCATAGCCTTATTTATCATCACAGTGCAGTCAAATGCAACACAAATTATTGAAATTAGTTTAAATTCATCATTTTATCGACGTGGGTCGACATTTGCAATGCCATCTTCCGAATTACATAGTAACTAATACAAAAGAAAACAGCTCAAATTTATTATTCTTGACTGTGCGTAAATTAAAACTGTTTAAAAATATTTTATTGTTAATAACAATAATTTCAGGAAACAAATTTAAATAAATATATCATACATTACACACAACCTACATTAACATTCCTTTATGCAATTCGAATAGTCATGTTTCAAAGCCGTGTAAAAAACATATGATTGATGGCATATTCAATAGATCACAGAAAACTAAAACACGAATAACAGTTTTTAGCAAATACTACCTCGCATTTACACAGGCAAGGTCTTCCCTATCAATTTCTGTCGGGTAAAGTGCTACGAAATGGGGACAAAACACTATATATTTTCATAATAAGTCCGCTATATAATTTAATTATTTTAATCCTTTTTTATCTTGCTCATTTTATGTTTCTAAATAACTTCTTATATTATTGACTGTAGTGTGATAATAAACGAAAGCAATGTTCATTATCTGTAATTTTTTCAATGTTATATAATTGTTTAAAATTTTTCAAACATACTGCGCTATCGTTTTATACGTAAATAATTTTCAGAGTTTTAATTAATTATTTCATTATTCCTCTGTGCCAAAATATCTGTCACAAGTTTTAATAATATAATTAATACTTTTACGATTTCTTCTCGTATTGTAGTAGTCCAACAGTACTAACATGTGCAATAAATGTTAAAGGAATAAAGTCTTTAGCTGTGTTCACAATTTAAAAACTGTATAAGAATTTCCTTTCCCGATAAACAATATTTTTTTCCCTTTCTATGAATTTGGAACAAAATTAAAACATGTCTCCTAACATACACCACTAGGCAGGGAAGACCACAGCATATTTAATAAGATTCCAATAATTTTAAATTAAACTATAAATTGACCAATGTTAAAATATAATTATGTCTCCACCTTGTGGCTAGTGATACTGCTTTGTTCCATGTTTTGTGATTGAAGAAGTTTATGAAATATGATCTTGTAGTAAACTTAGAATAGCTACAATGAAATCTGAACAGATTCTGGGACATATTACCCACTCAGACAAACTTACAGGTCGAATTATATTGGAAGGAAATGTATATGAGTATTTAGATTTTTCAGTGTCTGATAAATAAAGCGAACTTTTATTAATGATTTAGTAATGTAAACTTGGAACTGAACATTTAGATGTCCTTTCAGCAATGAAACACAATTTTTGAAACATTATATAGTTCTTAAACAAGTATTTTTCCGAGAAAACTACCGTTGTGTCAGGCCTATGCATTTTTACATGTCAATATTGCACAACTTATATATAAATATATATTTTTCACAAATTCGTATGTTCTTTTGGCTTCATATTGCATTAATGTTACGATTTCATTTCATTTTTCATCATAGCTTATGCAATATGCTCACTGACAAATATATCATAATTATTACTTACATACACCATTCTCTTCTATAAACTCAAATTTTCACTCTGTTATTTATTCATCACTCGAAATTTGATGTTACTTTTCACACAATATTATTATAAATATTGAATAATAATTAATATTTGGTTCTTATAACAATCAAATGGAACTGAAACTATGAGGAACACATACATGTATTGACTAACTTGAAGAAGGAAAGTGGTATTTGCACCTATGTAAGAATTACATTATTAAAGAAGTTTCTATTCTCACACTTCACTTTCTGACAAAACGAAACACAACCAGATGTTTCTTAATTTAAATTAACCTTTTTTATTTCATAGTCCGTCCAAATATGATTACATCTGCAGCATTATTAGCATAAACAATACTAATATTTTGAGTTGAAGGCGAAGTATCAAACACGACAATCTGAGTTTTGTTTTATATATAGGCTACCATATGCTTAATACACATATCTGCTTAATTGTAGGTAACAGCAGGTGTTATATAAGTATAGGTCTTACAGAAAAGGGCCATAAGCGTGGTATATGTAGTGTAAGTGTGTGATATATAAAGTAAGCACCCATTTATCCTTGGTAATGGGAGAATCAGCATGGAAAGTTTAAAAGTGGTACCTTCTGAATGCAGTAAATAATTGGGGTTCAAATAATAGTTACGACTTATAGAAGTTTACAGAAAATTTGAAGAAATGTGAGAAGCTAGTATGGAGTTATGGAATCCATAACGCGCATAATTATTTCTTTGATATTAAGATTACTGGTGTTACTAAAAGCATAGTGGTAAGACCACACAGAAAACAATTGAAAGACTGCAAGGCCTGTTTAAATAAAAGTTAAAGGAAACATAATGATGACTCTGTTTTAACTAAAAATTATTTGTATGCTACTAACTTATCTTTATGGAATATAAATACAGAATTTTTATTTTTACTAGTTTTTCATATCCATATTCTGGAAAAGTGCAGATATATTCCACAAATTTATAAGTTTCTTTAAAATTCAGTATCAGCTAAAACCTGATATTCATAATCTGGCCCTTGATGTGTTAAGTCATATTAATTAGTCATCTCTATTTTACATTTTTTAGTTATTGTAATTTTAAATAGAAGAGCAGACATTCCACAATATAATCTCCTTATATTATAAAGTCTTTTGTTGAATATGAAGCTTGCTTTCAAAATCCATCCTCGAATTCTGATATCACTGCTACAGTATTTACTTTGAATTTATTTGTTTGAAACATTGTTTAGTTTATATTTTCTGTACACATGAATGTTCAGAGCTCTGTACTGGCTAACATGTCATTCAGCCTACACGTAAACAATGTGTGCTGGTTTGTGCGCTTCACCATTCACACTGTATTGGTTTTGATACATGGCAAGTGCTCTATTATCTGGAACACCAATGCCTTTGTTAACAGGGTCCCAATTTGCTAAGGGATGCTGATGATTGTATGGCATCTCATTCACCTCTGAATCCTTCTTTTTCAGCATGAAATCATCCAGTCCATCCATATTGTCCTTTTTTGGCATTACCATAAGCACAGCACCATTCTGATGGTGACGGAGATGGTAATTTGGTAACTCTGTGAGTGTGTCAGGTTTCTTGCAAAATCGGTCACTTCCCAGAAACAACAAGAAACCACATGTCACTGCAAACAGTGAGAATACAACAACGGTAACAATGATGACCGCTAACCAAGAGATATCGCATCGTACCTCTTTTTCTGGCACATCAACCAACAGTAGCCTTTTAACAGTTTCTGGGCCCACGCATCGAATAGCATCAATATCCAGTTGAAGAATCTTGTTCACCACTTTTGTTGATGCTGAAGGAGCTGCTGATACATCTGAAGGCTGAGGCAGGACTGTGACATTTCTTTGTTCTGCCTCGTACTGTTTGCGTGCCAACGTCCATAGCCAAAACATGGAACAGTTGCAGTGTAATGGATTACCTGCAAGGTTCAGAGAATCCATCTGATCCAAAGGGAAATGAGAGGCATCCAGAAGTGTGAAAGAATTGCCACGGACGGAGATGTCAACAAGAAGTGGGTTACCATGAAAAAGTCTTGTGGGAAGATTGGTAAGTCCTACGTTGTATTCCATAAAAATGCTCTGGAGTTTTATGTTATCAACAAAAGCTCTCACGTCGACAAGTTCAAGTTTTGGAAGTCTGCACAATCTTAAGCGCCGGAGCTCGAAGAGACTTTGGAAAGCTATTGGTCCAATTGTGGAGAACTGGTTCCCACTGAGGTCAAGTTCTCCTAGACTCATTAGTTTTGACAGTTGTTGCTTAGGAATAAAACTTAAGTTATTATAACTAATGTCCAAATACTCCAGTGACAGAAGTCCGTCAAATCCTGCATTATGAATGTAAGATATCACGTTTGACGCAAGTGAAAGAACTTTTAAGTCTCGCAAATTTGGTATGGCGTCACTTGATATACTTTCCATGAGGTTATCTGCAAGATTTAAAGTTCTCAAAGATGGTAAACGTCTTAAAGCACCTGTAGGTACATCAAGTAGCTGGTTATCTGAGAGGTCTAGCACTTTTAGGTTAATTAATGGATCGAAGACACCTTCACCGATGGTGATAATTTTATTGCTACGGAGATGAATTTCCCACAAATTTGGTGATTCCTCCCACATGCCACCATCTAAACTTTCAATAAGATTTCCACTTAGGTCCAGAACTCTCAGTGATTTGAGTCCACTGAAAGTGAATTTGCTAAGGTTGGCGATTTGGTTACCGCTCGCATTAAGGCTCAGAAGTTTCTCTTGAAGTTCAAAGTTTTTAGACCCCAGTGACGAGATTCGATTACGCGAGACGTCCAATGAACGGAGATTTGAATAGAAGCCAAGTGTGAAGTGGACGTCGCCGATGCGGTTGTCTCTCAAGTTGATGGTTTTCACGTTCGGATTCAGCTGGATTGGCACGACTTCAAGACCTGCGTCTTCACACGACGCCCTCAGCGCTTCGTCGTTACAATAACATCGAGACGGACAGAGGGCGTCAGTCTTTCCAAAAAGCACCAAAATCAGCACAATGTGGAGTAGAGAAAATGAATTGCTTGAAGTTATTCTGGGTTGTTTTATTGAAAGGAGTTGGGTTCGATGTACTTCTCCACGATTTCGAAATCTGGTTACCGAAGCCCACTTCCAAATATTTGTTGCTAATTTGCTCATAATGTTGGGGACCATTGTTGTTTTCTGCAGTAGATGTGAGCAAGGCGAAATATTTAGAATCTTCTTTGTCATCATCCGCCATGTTGATGCGATGTTTATGCCGCCTGGTGGAAGAAATGACAAACCTCCAGCCCGTGGGAAAGGCCGCTCATCCTCCATTCCACGAAGTAGCATTCATGGGACCTGGAAACAGAATCACCAATCATCAGCAAAATGTAACTTTCACAGGAAAGGGCACAAGAAACCAAAGAAAAATTATATAGCTTTTTTTCAGAAATTTGAAAATGTGATCATATACATATGTAAATCCTAAATATAAAGGTAGGGGACACGCGATAGCGTAATTGGTTACGGCACTATACTACAAGCTGGAAGGCCGCGGGTTCGATTCTCGATGAGGTCAGTGTATTTTTCAATTAAATTAATCCTTCCAGCCGCACTGTGGCCCTGGGGTCGATTCAGGCGCTAACAGAAATGTGTACCAGGAATCTTCATGGGGTGGTAAAGGGCAGCTGGCCCGTAAGGCTGACAACCTCACTACCATCTGTGAGCCGATTGTCTAGAGAAAATGTGGGAGCCTCACAGCGTTATGGGCCTCCACGGCCTGTTACAGGGATGGATTTACATCTTTTTTATTATGGTTTCGAAAAAACAAATAGCCAAATGACAGACTTGAAAGGATTCTGACGATGGTGTATACTGTACTTCTTTTGGCTTATTTTGAACTTCACCCATCGTCTGGTATATAAAAGACAGGTTCAGTGAGTGAGACTAGCTCTTTTTAAGGGGCCCAACTGAGTAGGTTTATCCTTCCCTATCCACCTGAAGACGGAGACAGATCCAGTCTCCGAAACGTCGTTTTTTTTTTGTCTTTTATATAGCAGACGATGGGTGAAGTCCAAAATAAGCCAAAAGAAGTACAGCCAAATGACAGCCGACATTTCGAAGAAACGTGTCGCTCTCCTCACTCCCTGCTTCATGTTGGCTTCTTGCTTGACTTATTCTTCGATCCTGAAGATTTAGACGAAACATCTGTTAATTTTCATCGGACTACATGTCTTTATATCCCGAAGGATAGAAATGTTCATAATCACCGCTGTGAGAAGCTCAAATCATAAACGTGGACTTATCTCCATTTTATTATGGACTTCTAGTTGTAACGTTTATTCGCCGTAAAGTGTCTAGTTTCTCCGAATTAGTGCGTCTGGAGCGATCTTCTCCATGTAGAAGTAATTCGCTGCGCCACCGGCTGTGTCTCTGTGATCACTGGTCTGGTCAGGCCGGAAGGAGGAGTTACTGGCCACAAAGAGAAATCCGAAGCCGTGTTCTAATTGAAGGCCTGCTCGGGTTATGATGAAGGAAATTAAAGCATTGAATGCTGCTCTGGTGGAAGGGAGAGGGCCCACATTCCCGTAATTAAATAAAACCGTCTTAAAGAAGGAAAAAAATGGGTTCCAGAAATGGAGAATTTGGGGTTAAAAGGAAGAAGGGAACGAAATAAGTAATGAAAAGGAATTTGGTGGGTTAAGAAACCTGGCAATAATATGACAGAGATAAAATATGGTAGGGTTTGTTTTAAAGAGCCCCAAAATGTAGCTATAATTTCGTTACTATATCTACCCCCATGCCTTCACACTGACATCAGTAGAACTAGATTCACAATTTCGTCATTCATGCGTAAATGTGCGTACTTGACACTTAGTTGTAGCAAAATTGTATCTGTGATAATCTGCTTCAGTAGAGTTTCTGCCTTATCGTCTTGGACAGAAACATACAGGGTGTTACAGAATAATATGTTGTATGTGACTATAGAATAGTTTGGAATGATACTGGATTTATTGACCATTTTAACACACAACGCGTAATTACACTTAATTGTCGCGCCATCGCTGATGTCCATATTTCAAGAATCACTAGAGCATACGCTAAATCATTTCCAGCCCGTAGTCTCTCCAACAGCAGTTTCCTGCAACGGCCCCTAACAACCGTTATTCCTCTGCTTCAAGCTCAATTCCTCTTTGACCGGAGGTTCTCTTCCAACTGAACTATTCTTGTTTCAGTTGTTCTCTTTATATCCCATTTGCAAGGACAGAGCAGAGAACACCGTTCCTAACAGTAACCCTATTATTGCATGAGTATCCATTGCCGCAGGAACGTGTTTACTGAACCGTTGCCTCGAAACGACTCTACACGCTACAATATGATCATATTATTTTGTGTTTACATCATGTTAATATAAGAAAACGCCGGTCACGGTAGCCGAGCAGTCTGAGGCATGTACTGTCTTCGCTCGCTCGGAAGCCGGGGTCGTGGGTTCGGATCTGTTTCCTGTAAGGTACGGACTGAATTCTTATATATTATTCTTATACATTGCCGGTCACGGTAGCCGAGCGGTCTAAGGCATGCACTGTCTTCGCTCGCTCTGAAGCCGGGATCGTGGGTTCGGATCTGTTTCCTGTGAGGGGCGGACTGAATTCTTATATATTATTGTTATACACTGCCGGTTACGGTAGACGCGCGGTCTAAGGCATGAACCGTCTTCGCTCGCTCGGAAGCCGGGATCGTGGGTTCGAATCTGTTTCCTGTGAGGTACGGACTGAATTCTTATATATTATTCTTATACACTGTCGGTCACGGTAGCCGCGCGGTCTAAGGCATGCACTGTCTTCGCTCGCTCGGAAGCCGGGATCGTGGGTTCGAATCCCACTCGAGGCATGGATGTTTGGTATATGTGTTTATTCTGTGTTTGTGTTGTCCTGTGTTTAGGTAGAAGCCCTGCGACGAGCTAATCACTCTCCAAGGAGTCCTGCCGTCTGTAAAATGATCATGAAATTGAAAATCGGAGACCGGGGCCCAAGGGGGCTGTAGAGCCAGTGGGAAAAAATAGCAAGCAAAAGAATGGTAGTACAGGAATACTGCGAAGTTAGGTGTTCAGAATCTCAGGCAAAACACGCTCTACAACGATGAACAACGGAAGTTCTGTGTGGGGTGTCATTATTTGGGGACACGCTGTATATCAAACTCGAACCTTCTCGCTACAAGTTTACGTCTGCATTCCTGTGAACTTCGGAAGTACAGTTCTAAATTTGGCAAACTGGCTCAGGTGGCAGCGTTTATGGTATAAATTCAGGAACTGCCCGATTCGAATCTCGGTCGGAACACCGATTATACTTACTGAGGTCCCACTTCGTGGTCTTACCCAGTTCCCCCAGAGGATTTCCGGCGTACCTTAAGTCAACCCACGGTTACTTACTTCCATATTCTCCCATATAGAGTTTTCCCTGTTACCCAATTATCGGACGGCGTATAGTCTGAAGTAGAGAGTGCAGTTACCCAACCTGTAAATCATCATCATAATCATCATCATCTCCTACTTTTTCTTGTTGGGTCCTCTGGCCTATTTCCGATGAAGACAGTCGGTAGGACTCCTTGGACAGGGGATCAGCCCGTCGCAAGGCCACTACCTACACACAGGACAACACAAACACAGAATAAACGCACACAGACATCCATGCCTCAAGTGGGATTCGAACACACGATCCAGTGTCTGAGTGGGTGAAGATATTTCTTGCCTTAAGACTGCACAGCTGCTGTGATTGTCTAACCTAAAAATAAAATAATTATTTTAAACTCCGTGGACTTGAAAAAAAAATCTCAACTTTTATGGAAACTGAAAGTTCATGCAAAACCCATCACTGGGACTCATCATGAAATAACGTCATCCACGAAATGCATGAAGAGCTGGGGTTCCACAATTGTAAATAATTTAATAATTAATTAAAATATTTTTTTTCTGCCTTACATGTTTCAGCCACTAATGGCCATCAGCAGGAGACAAAGCAATGTTATAAAAGAGATACTTTACATAAATTTTTGTTATAGTGCCACTGCATGTATGAATATTAAAATTGTTTGTTTGTTAAACTAGTTATACTTGATGCAACAATATATTTTAAATATCAGCAGTGTGTAACATCCAAATGGTTTGCATGAAGATAATTTAGTCTGAATCACCAAAATCTATTTCTGCACGATCCAGCCTTACTTACTTAATATTTTTCTTTTTAAANCCGTGGGCTTGAACTCTCTCCATTAATATGGAAATTATATCTCCGTTTGGACTTGTTATTTCGGGAAATTGAAGGCGAAATATTCTCCTGCACGATATGTATAAGTTTTTTCACATGAAACAAATAAACAAACAAACAAAACGAACACTGTGACCAGTAGTCCACAAGCGAACTGTACCGACCGAGCGACCGTCGCTTATCGGCGAAGTTAGTCCCAAATTTAGCGGATAGAGGGTGTCGCGTGGTCAGCGCATCGAATCCCCACGGCCGTTAATTTCGGTTTTCTAGACTGGAGCCGCTATTTCCTTGAAATGTCTCGTTAATTATCCTCACGAGGCTGAGTGGATCCCGTTCCAGACCCACCACTTCTCAGAAAATCTGGTAGCGCCGGGAATCGAACCCGGGTCCTCTGGATCTGTAGCCAGGAACTCTGACCACTAGACCACAGAGGCAATCATGCTTGAACCAATCTTTATGGAAGTTGGTACGTATAACATGGCCCCTGAGCCCATCTCAAAGGCGTACCCCCCCCCCCAATCAGTGTGTGTCTGTATTGCTAGGCTATCACTCGGTAAACACTTTCTCGTTCCAATGAATACACGCAACCATTAAAGAATTGTTGAAGCGTGTGTCTATGTTTTCCTCTATCATTGCTAGGTAACAGCTCGGTAAAGACGTTCGTGCGGCAACGTAGAATTGTTGAAACTGTCGTTCTTTATGTGGTCCGTGTCTTATTAATTAAAAATATGGGATTATCTCGTCCCAGATACATATATATTTTTTTTTTTTTTTGTAAAATCACCGGCGAATAACATTACATACGGATAAGAAAAATATTCGTTAAGAAATTTTATATAGAAGACAATAGGATTTTTGCTTTCAGTTCCATGTGCCCTACATTTTGGGACACACTATGTGCTTAAGGAAATGTTCTTCACTTGGAGACTCTTTAGAAAAGTTTTTCCCCCTGATATACCACCAAATTACGTAAAGAAAGAAGAAAGAAAAAAAAAAAAGAAAGTGAGGAGAGGAGAAAAAAAAGAAAGTCGCCTATACAGGTTCTTAAATAAGTTCTCTCCTCGTATTAAGCCATAACTTTGTGCTGTGATCTCG